AGGCGAATTGCATATACAATAGCACACACACTCTTATAGTTTTAGGGTAATAATTATATAGGAGTGGACAATAGAATAGTATTATTGATGGTGGACAAAACTATTTTTTGAAAAACAGTGGATGAACGGGACACATGAGAAAATTTTATTTAAAATTGATTACTTGCCACAACGGATTTTTATATTAATAGTAACAAATAATTTACTCGTAATATTATTCGTACGTTCGACAATTAAGTAGTTTACCTTAAATTTTCTCCAACAGGATTAATTGATTATAAATCTTGAAAAATAGAAAAATGAAAATTGCATTATTAAAGAATAACTTCACCTTATCATCACCAAACAACTTGGTGAATTTCAGCATTCTTTGTTTTCTATTTTAAATCTTCCAAATTAAAACTTACAAAGATCTGTACTAAAACCTGTTTTATGTACCAACATCGATTAGCCAATGTTGTTTCAAAGTCTGATACTATTATGTGTAGTTAACTTCAAAGTCAAAATTCAAAAAAAAATCAAGTTAACACAACTCGTATGGTGTAAAAATTCCTCTGCACACTAATATTGACCTGCCTATGTGTGTCTCAAACTGAGAAGTCAAACGCAATTCGTTTTTTTTTCATTTTATGAAATGTAATAATAAAAGAAGAAATATTAATGATAGTTTTAATTTGTAAAAAAAGATGCATTTTTATTTTGAAAGAAAATATACAAATAAATTTTTTAATTAATTGAACTCCACTTTCATTCTTCAATGGGTAGCTTGACAATTTAGATAGAATCAACGCTCACTGCAGTTGAATGCTGAATAAATATAATTTCATTAATCAAGGTTAACGTACAGTATACAGATTAAAATGTAATATATATATATACAGCCTAATCCTTAAAGGGAAACCTAAAGTTGTAAAAAACCGGTTTGTCATATGTATATATATACACACACAGTATACTAACTGGTCCAATTACCTGAAGGTAATATCAGGCCCAGTTGTAATCTATCACTAAACAATCCTCCCCTTCCAGGATGGGATGGGATGATCAAACTTTTTGAGAGTGCAACATACCCTTGTATTTATTTTTTTCCCTTTTATAATCCCTTTTTGGCCAAATCCTTAACAAAAAAACTTCAGCACTATTTATATATATACCTTCTTTTTGAGCATTACGATTCAAGTGTGTCTTATTTCCTATAAAGAATTACGAAATCCATATTTATCACGTCATTTTAAATATAATAAATAATAATGGCATGATTTATCAGGCCACAAATATGAAATTTCAAAACGTCCCCCACAATAAACAATGATGCGAAAAATCCCATTTAGATCAACCTCCATTCATTCCAATCAAATTAATTTATAAACCCAAACTTTTATATAATATAAATATGTGATATAACGATTAATAAAGAAAATAATAATTTGTCGTTTATCTTGTAATCGTTGATATAGTTGTTGATGTCGTTCTTGAAATTTGTTCGATTGTTGCAGAACTGTTTGTGGTTTTTGTGATCTTCGTCGTGCCATTACTTTGTTATTCATCTTGATGTTTTTAAATGGGTTTTAATATTAATAAAAAATATCGTAATAAATCAATTTTATATTTGTATTCCATAATTTTATTCGCTTGCGTTTTTTATAAAATAAAATAAAATATTTATTTTAATTGTCTCATAAATCTTCGATCTTCGATGACAAGTTTCATTGTTACCAATATTGTTTGTATCTTGAATAAGCTTACGGTTTCAAATTACTTTTATCTTTATTAAGAGTAGGAGAATCGTGAAATTCAAGAAACTTGTTGCATGTATATGTATCCTTGACCAGTATAAATTGTCGATTTCAAATTTACGCGCAACAATGAACAAAAGATTAACGAAGAGCTATTGTGAGATTTGTGCCACACTGCATCCAACTGAAATATAATGATAATTTTATTTTAAGGTTTTGTAAATATGGTTGATTATTTTTTTATGGAAATCATCGATTTGCAGAAGAGAAAGAATAAGATGATATGAAAACTTTTTGGGATTTATGCAAACGATGCGAACAAAGTATAATTGTCATGTTCTATTTTTCGATAAATCATGGTTGCCACGACCTAAAAGAAGTATATCTAGTTTTCAACTCGTAATAATTGTTAATTTCACAAGCTTCGTCAACTATTAAATCAAATTTTTTATACTTGAGAATTCCTTTTCAATTTCAAACAATTTTTCTGTATTTGAAGAGGATGCTTGTATTATTTCTAATATATGATTGTTGAAATCATCTGTTGAAAAAAAAGATTGATGATTGTATGATGAATCTGATTTACTATTGCCAAAACATAAACCAGAATTAAAGAAATCTGTTTTTTGTGATACATTATTATTATTTACAGTATGATATCTTCGATTTGACTTATAATAGTAGTTGTTGTTGTTGGTATTTTTGTATCTGTTGTCATATTAAAATATTTTTTTTTGTAAAGTTACACGATGCATAGTGAACAAACGATTACAGGGGTCAAATTTAAAAAATATTTTCAAATTTCAGACCAATCAGAGCCTCTTTTATCACGCGAGAAATTCAATAAACACTTTCTTGTTATTTACGCGATCTTAATATTATGTGTAATTGATTAATAATTTTTTATTAATTAAAAATGCTACCTTTCTAAAAGAAAAGTCAATATTTAAGTAAACAGGGTGATGAATATGGTAAGCAAAGTTGATAAAGAAAAGGGATTAAATAATTTGGATAATGATGATAATGATGATGAGAAAGAATTGAACAAGTCGGATAAATTGAGTGATATTAATAATGATGATAAGTGAGGCGAGGATAGTGGGTGATTGGGACGATATAGAAAATATAGAAGAAGATA